TACTACTAATGAAATTATTTTTTAATTTTTTTTGGCTTTTCCGCCCATGATTCTTTTTTTTTTAAAAAAAAAATAGAATTTTTGAAATTAACATAAATTATCTTTTCTGATATATATGCATTACATCTTGATGTCTATATTTCTCTCAATTTTATCCCTGTTTTTTTTTTAAAAAAAATTGTTTCCTTTTTTGTGGGTACTAGTGCGGTACCTGTGCGATGCACGAACTAATTTTATTAAGGTAAGCAGTTAAATTTGGATGATTGGAAGAATGTAAAATACATATATTGAAATGAAACACAATGTAACGTTATATATTACTTATTAAACACATCATTGTACACAAAATTATTTGTTTGGTCTTTTGGTACATCGTCTATCGCCACAAATTATATTAAGATTGTAGATAGTCTTAAATAAATCGACTAAATTATTTAGCAGAATATATACGATATTTTGTAAGTGTATGAAATCATTATTTATTTTGTAAGTGTATTCAATCAATTTCAAATTTGTATTCTAGATAATTAAACAAAACCCAAATTTTTAGGATGTTACAATCCGATTTCATTTTGAATTTCAAATTAATATTATATGACTTTGTTTTATGTTTAAAAAAGTCTGAATTAAAGAAAGTAATAATCAAATGATAAAAAAATTTTAAATTTTAATTTGAAATTTGACCCGATTTTTATGTAATCCAATTTTTTTAATAAACATGATCTGCTACAGTTAGGTAAAGATACATGTTATAGTGTTTTGTCTAATTCAAAATTTTCGATTGTATGGTAAACAGATTTTTTTTATAAAAAAAAATGAAAGAATTTTGACTTTTACAAAATTGTCATGCCCACTATGCAATTCGATTTTTATAATAAATAATTGATTTGTTGCAATTAGTAAAAGATATATGTGATAGTATTTTGCCTAATTCGAAATTCTTGATTTTATTTTAATCACTTTTTTCTAATAAAAATAGAGAAATAAAATTGACTTTTGCATCAGTCAAAATTTACCTAAATTAAATCCACAAAATATATAAATTTAGGGTGCATATTAAAAAAAATACAATTGTTGTACCATTTCAAGATTAAATCAACCGTAATTAGTTTTATTTAAATTATAATAGTTTCCAAATAAAATACTTTAGTTAGCCAAGAATTTATGGTAAGTAATATTGTTTCTTTAAGGTAACACGATTTTTTGAAAGAAAAGTAAGAAATACCTATAATTTTAGGGTAGCGTTTAATGCTGATTTTTTTTTTAAAAAAAAAAAGTTACTAAGTATGGAATGTAATTAATGCTAATTGAGATTTGACCAGAATTTGACCTACTATTTTAAAAAAATGGTAATTCTTTTTTTATATATATAGGTTTTAAAAAGGGAAAATTCTACTAGAAGGCCTAACTTTTAGTAATTGTATTAATATAAGGCCTGAATTTTTTACTTTTTCAATAGAAGGCTTATATTTTAGGTTATTCTCACTTT